GCTTGAGACTCCCTCCCGATTGAAAAAGACAACCTTGTCTTCAGTTCCCAGCCCTTTCCACGTGCGCCTCCGTACCTCGGCACTTTACTTCCGCACCTCCTTTGAGTCTCATTGTGCTTTTCTCTATCCTTCTAGTTGTAGAATTTCCACTCAGCCAGCCTTCCTGTGGTTCTGGATGATGTCCGTTTTGTCTTTTAGTTGTATTTTTGAAGTGGTTGTGCAAGGCAGCAATTTCCGGTGTTTACCTATGCTGCCATCTTGGTTTCTCTGATTTTCAGAGGTTTTGGTCCATGTTTCCTTTGAAGTGTAGTAAGTATCCAGTTGGAGATGTCTGCCAGAAAGTTAGAAATGTGGAACTAGAGCTGAGGAAATACAGATCTGGGAGTCAGGTACATGGGGATGTTAAAGTTGTGGAAGTTCAGATATCTTGAAAAAATACTTATTAGGAAAGAAGGTGGCTTAAGGCAGAACTTTCATTATAATAACCAATATTTGTTTTATACCCTTTTATGTGCTGAGCACTTTCTAACGTGCCTTTCATATAATCCTTACACCCCTATAAGTAGATGTTATTATTCCAGAGAGGTTGTAACTTGCCCCAGTCAAATAGCATAGTTATTAGGAAGTACGTAAATCTGCCTGGTTCCAGATTTCAATCTTCTAACTTCTAAGATACTCCACCATTTAGTTGTTGGAGAAAGAGTTTAGAGAAGTATGAGAAATCCATAAGATGTGAGAACTGGGAAGGACTAGGGATCATCTAATCCAACTCCTTTGTCTTAAGCTTGGGAAACTAAGACCTACGGATATATGAAGACTGGTTTGGGATTATGAAACTAGATGGTGGAACTGTTTAGCCATCACTGCTTCTCAGAGTTTTTTGCTGAAATACTTTGAAGAGTAGAATTTTTTTGTGTTGTATGGGGAGCCTATTGCAAATTTGAAATTTGTTTTGAGGTTTCCTGATTTATTCTTTAAATGTAAGCAAATATTTCAATTTTACCCCCAACATATCAGCCAATATTTAATTACTTATCTTTATCTTTTTATTTTGAGCTAGCTTTAGATTTTCAGAGCAGCTGGAAAGATAATACAGAGAGCTCCTGCACACCCTACCTTCATGCAGCCCATTGAATTGTTCAGGTATAAATAGTGCTTCAGCTTTTCTCTAGCTTCTTTCAAATTTTTTTCTTTGTTTTTAATTTTCTACAGTTTGATTATTAAGCAAATTCCTTTGGGTTTATCCTATTTGGAGTTCATTGAACTTCTTTTTTAAATTGTAAATTGTTTTATTAATCCTTACCCAAGGATATTTTTTCATTGATTTTTGTAGAGAGAGGGGGAAGAAAAGGAAGAGACAGAGAGAGAAACATCGATGTGAGAGAGACACATCAATTGGTTGTCTCCTGCATGCACCCCGACCAGGGCTGGGGAACCTGCAACTGAGGGATGTGTCATTGACTGGACTCTAACCCAGGATCCTTCAGTCTGCGGGCCTATACACTGAGCCAACCTGGCTAGGGCTCACTGAACTTGAATCTGTAAAGTTATGTCTTTCGCTGGTGAAGTTCTCACCTATTTATTTTTTTATTGCTTTTAAAGAGCAAGGAAGGGAAAGGAAGAGAGAAACATTAATGGTGAGAGAGAATCATTGATTGGCTGCCTCCTGTGTGCTTCCTACTGGGGATCTAGCCCAAAACCTGGGCATGTGTCTGACTGGGAATCAAACCAGCAACCTTTTGGTGCATGGGGTTATGTTTAACCAATTGAGCCACACCAGCCAGGGCTCATCTATTATTTCTTCAAATAATTTTTTTTTCTTCAAATAATTTTCAAGCATTGTACTTTCTTCTCTCCCTCTGGTTCTATCCCTTAGTTCACTTTTCAGAGTTTTTGGCATGCTGTTTAGGATCACATTGACTCTTAGGTACATCAAGGGTGAGCCCACTTTATCGACAACTACATAGGATCTGTTTTCCAGAGCTCCTTTCTGTTCGAGATGTCCTGGCGCTTTAATCTGCTCTGTTGGGTACTTCCCACAATTGCATCCACACTCCAGGGCTCAGCAGCAGGAGACAGACATTCCATAAGTTTTAACCCCCCCCAAGAGGTTTTTAAAAATATATATATTTTATTGTTTTTTTACAGAGAGGAAGGGAGAGGGATAGAGAGTTAGAAACATCGACGAGAGAGAAACATCGATCAGCTGCCTCCTGCACATCCCCTACTAGGGATATGCCCACAACCAAGGTACATGCCCTTTACCAGGATCGAACCCGGTACCCTTCAGTCCGCAGGCTGATGCTCTATCCACTGAGCCAAACCGGTTAGGGCCCCCTGAGAGTTTTGTAGGTGCCCGGGTCTCCCACCATTGCAGCCATTCAGGGTGATGAAACTTGAGAAAATGAACAAAAGAGGGCATAACAAGAAAAAAATGAGGAATTTCACCCACTTTCTCTGAGTGTTAGACCTTTTTCCCCCTCCTCAAGGTAGAACTGAGGGCATCTCCGAGAGCTCTCTGTCCACACCGATGCCCACTTCTGGGTTTTGGGCTTTTCTTGAGTCCTGGCTGGAGGATGTCAGAGGAAGAAAAAGTGTAAGCTCACCACCGGTTATGTGGTATTTCAAATTCTGTTCTTCTTCCCTAACCTACCCGCTACTATTTAGTTTTCGGGGTCTTCATCCAGCTGCTGCATGTGTTTTCTGTCCAGGATTTATAGGTGCATTCAGTGCGAGAGACAGGGGAGTGTGCTTTCTCCATGTTATCAGAACCAGGAAGTACTTCATTTGCATATAGTGCAATTTAACACTAAAAATTTATTGTTTTGCCTTTCAGTTTATATTCATAGTCTATCTGGATGACTTCATTTTTTATTCTTTGTTTGTTTTGAGTATCATTATGATCTCCTGGGCTTGTGTATATTTATTTCAACGCATTACAGCCATTCTCTTTTGGCTCAGCTTGTCCCATCTCTGCTAGTGGGAGCTCTTTTCAGTTGGCTCCTATGTCCTTCCAACATGACTCCAAAAGTCTTTGGTAGCATTCTGGATTTTCCATTAAGTTCTTACACAACAAAATGTCCTAAGCTATTCTTTTCATTGTCTGACTCAGAGTAGGAATAGAACATTTTTTAAGGACTTAGGGTTCATTTTAATGAAAAATGATATTTAGATGTTATGCTATAGGCAGTGGAGATACTCATTGCTACAGGGTTGCCCTTAATTCTCTTCTTGGAAATGTTTTTTAAATTATAAAAGCAATCCATTTTCTCTAGAACATTTGAAAGTATAGATATATAAGGATATTAAAATTATTCCTTATTTTCCACTTAGAATTTTGGCTTTTGAGACTGGAAAACTAGTTTTTAAAATTAGAACTATCAGATATTCTAAATTCTTATTTGAACCTCCTCATTTTGTGTTTTTTAATTTTTTTATTTTTATCACTTTCAGAAGATCAGAGACTTGAGGCACTCTGGATGTTTACAAACCCTCCAAAATTAATAATAAAATAGCATGTTTATTGGAGGGATCACTTTGTAAATTATATAAATATCTAACCACTATGCTGTACACCTGATGCTAATATGAAATAAGGTTGAATGTCAACTAACTGAAAAATAAAAAAGTATTAAAGGTTTTATTTCTAAAATATTCAAATTGATTGAATTTAATTAATTCAAACATATTGAATTCAATGAGAAAAAAACCCCTACCAGAATTTAATGTTCCCTTCTGAGAGTGGTGGTAGATAGATTTAGAAGTTCCCTCTGTAATAAAATATATAGAGAAATAAAACCAAGAAAAAAAAGAGACAAAAAGTTATACATCAATTGCAACATCTGTTTCATGTAAACTTTAAAAGAGATTGGTAAGCAATTTAGAAGCATGATAAACTATAATGAAGTCCCATTTTTATATTTAGTAGAACTTTATAATAAATGATGCTGTTAACCAAGTTGGGGAATATAAAAGCAATGTCAGGTTTGGGGAAAATAATGAGGTAAAAAAAATCAAAGAACTTTATTAAGATGCTAGAGTCCCGGTGCATGAAATTTGTGTACTGGGCGATGGTTGGCGGGGGGGGGTGGTTGCCGGTCCCTCAGGCAGGCCTGTGCCCTCTCGCAGTCCGGGAGCCCTTGGGGGATGTCCAACTGCTGTGGAGGTGGGAGAGCTCCCGCCACCACCGCTGCGCTCACCAGCCATGAGCCCAGCTTCTGGCTGAGCTATGCTCCCCCTGTGGGAACACACTGACCACTAGGGGCAGCTCCTGCGTTGAGCGTCTGCCCCCTTGTGGTCAGTGCATGTCATAGCAACCGGTCATTTCACCATTTGGTCAATTTGCATATTAGCCTTTTATTATATAGGATAGCTCACATATCGTAAAATTCACCCTTTAAAAGTATACTATTCAGTGCTTTTAAATTTTTTTCTTTAATCCTCACCCGCAGATATGTTTTTACTGATTTTTAGAGAGCGAGGAAGTAGGGGAGAGAGAGAGAAACATCAATGAGAAAGAAACAATGATCAGTTGCCTCCCTTATGTATGCTCTCTAAACCCAAATTCATATACTCCCATTATATAACTTCAGTGATGGATAACGTTTTAGTACTAAGATTTTTTAAAAATATATATTTTATTGATTTTTTTACTGAGAGGAAGGGAGAGGGATAGAGAGTTAGAAACATCGGTGAAAGAGAAACATCGATCAGCTGCCTCCTCCACACCCCCTACTGGGGATGTGCCCGCAGCCAAGGTACATGCCCTTGACCGGAATCAAACCTGGGACCCTTCAGTCTGCAGGCCGACGCTCTGTCCACTGAGCCAAACCAGTCAGGGCTAAGATCTTATTTTGTAATACTTATATTGCTTGGTTGCTTACATCTCTAAACCAGGTTGCTGAATGTTGACACATAATACTTCCTTTTTTCCTTTTGTGTTTTTCTTCTACTTAAAATGTGGCTTCTAAAGTACCATTGTTGGTTTGTTTTTTTTTCAGAGAAACCATGCCAGATGGATCAACTGGATCGAATCCTTCTCTCTGGCATCTATAATGTACGCAAGGGGAAGACCCAGCTGCATAAGTGGGCTGAACGCCTAGTTGTTCTCTGTGGCACCTGCCTCATCGTTTCCTCAGTGAAGGATTGTCAAACTGGAAAGATGCACATTTTGCCTCTGGTTGGGGGAAAGGTAAGACTCACAAAGATGAATTATTCTTCATTTGATCATCTTAATTTTAAAAAATCATATATGCTTTTTATAGCTTTTTCACATCTTTTAAAAGAAAAAAATATGAGCATTGTTAATGCTTACATCACAAAACTGGTCTTTAAGAGTTCTTAGGTTTAAATGAAAAAACTGACTCAGCCTAATTTAAGCATCAAGCAGCTTTATTTACATTACAGACTTTATGGGAGAGCCAAATGGTATCCATGCCCCAAGTTCTGCTGTGGAGTCCTTTGGAAGATACTCATGTCTCCATTGGTAGGCACTGGTAACACCAAGAGCAGACAGAAGATTCTAACACTAGAAGCTGCTTTTGGAAACTAGAAGTAGCTGCCATTATCCATCACCAATATAGATTCTTTCTAGTTTCTCCTCTCTCCCTTGTTAGACTAAAATTCAGACTGCGGGGCGGTCAAAAGTCTCCAACCAGCAGCCATGGAGACGTCATTTTTTGCATCTGTACTAGAGAATTTCCCATCAAAGGCAATCTGAATTTAAGAGAGCCTCCAGACAAAATGACTGTAAATTCATGCTTTGAAACATCCAATCTGCATGTCTCTACAGCAATGTAGATAAAATATGCATAATAAAAAGATAAATATATAAAAAAGATATAGTTGGGCTTAAGAATATAGAATAAAAATGTATGTGGTGAGTAGGTCTGAAACTGAGGACCTTCTGGGCTCTGGGTCTGAAAGGTTGTGGCCACCCAGGAGTTCAGCTGTTGTAAGTATTTGGGTCTAAAAGTGCTCTGCTCATGATGAGGGACCTGGCACCGTCTTACTGCTTGAAGCCAGGAGATGAGTAGTAGTCTTTGTTCCTGAAAGAAAGCTGGAAAAAACACACCAAAACCAAAAAACCAAAACTGTTAACCAGTCACTGGAACCAAGGCTGATTTCTATCTATGGTCCCAAAGAAGTGAGAGGACCCAGTTATATGGCTTGTGATCAGGAAATGATCAAGCTCCAACTGGCTTAATGAATGAATGTATGTAATTCCCATATCAACCATGGGGCAGGAACCCAACACTACCAGTATGAGACCTGGTTCTGCCCTTGGTGGGGGGGGGGCAGGGCACGCTGAAGGAATGAATGAAGAAAGTAAGTAAAATTTCTCCAAAGGGAGAAAATGAGTGAGGGCAAGGTTGGGGGATTGGTGGGGAAGAAATGTGAGATAGAGCAAGAAAGAAAAAAAAAAAGAAACTTACATTCAAGTAATTCTTGCCCATTCTTTCTCTTTCCTCATAATAGAACAGAATTTTGATAAGGGTAGCAGTATACCAAGATAAAAAACCTCCCCAACCTCCCTTGCAAGTATAAACAAAAGTTTAAAAAAGTTTCCAGGTGGGACTTTTGGGAAAACCCTTCAAAATGGGGCAGACATGAATGGCTTGACTCTTTATCTACTTTGTCTTCCCAACACAGTCGCCCAGTGTTGGAGGTGGAGCAGTCATACGGTGATTGAGAATGGCAAGCATATGCGGAGTGTGATCATTTGGAAAGTAGAAAGCATTTGGGTCTCTGGTGACATTGTGGAGCTGCTGTACCAGTTATGGACTGACTCTGTATTTAAGCCACTGTTTTACAACTTAATAAATTAATTGATGTGCTGAAGAATTTCACATATAAAAATATAAAAGAGCCCTTAAAGGAGGTGCTGGTATACATTAATAGGAGTTCCAGAGAAGAGAGTAGAGGAGAATGGAAAGCAATAATGGTTGAAATTTTTCTGGAAGTAAAGACAAACTTGAGTGTTCAGATAAAAAATATATAGTGTACCAAGTAGGATAAATAAAAATAAATCTACATCTAGACATATTGCAGAACATGAAGGACAAAGAGCAAATAATAAAAGCTTCCAGAGAGAAAAAGATTACCTACAAAGAATTGACAGGCCAACGACAGTCTTCTTTTCATCAAAGTATGTGCTAGAAGACTACACAATTGCTGAAAGAAAATAAATGTCAACCTGTGTTTTATAGCCAGCTGAGTTATCTTATGAGAATCAAGGCAAAATAGGACATTTTAGGACAAAGACTAATAAGCTGACATTCTCACCGAAAGAACCAATAAAGGATGTACTTCTAAAAAACAACCCCCTCCTGAAGAAAAAAAAGTAAAAGAAAAAATAGAACAACAAAGGAAAGTAAATTCAGAGGGAAGATATCTACACTAATAAAAGAGAAACATGGTAATTAGCGTACGACCGCTACCCTTCCCATTGGCTATCAGCGTATCCTTATGCAAATTAACTGTCAGCCAAGATGGCGGCCGGCAGCCAGGCAGCTGGAAGAACATGAGGCTTGCTTGCTCCAGTGACTGCAGATTCCAACGTTCCCCGCCTGCGCTGCCGGCCTCTGAGCTGGCAGTTAGAAACATTCTAACAAATATAGGCCGGGATCTCAGAGCTGAAATTATACATTGTTTCGATTATAGAACCGAAACAAACCAGATACCTGCTCTCAGAGCTAGAGCCAGAGCTAAAGCTGGCCCAGAATAAAATAAAAAAAGGAGTGGTTGGGAGCTTCAGTCAACAACCGCCAGCCTGAAAGCAGCCGTCAGCCCCTCACCCAGACTGGCCAGGCACCCCAGTGGGGACCCCCACCCTGATCCAGGACACCCTTCAGGGCAAACCAGCCTGCCCCAAGGCCTCTATCCTATATAGTAAAAGGGTAATATGCCTCCCAGCACCGGGATCAGCGGAGCCGCGAGGCCTCCTGGCACCGGATCAGCGTGACGGGGGGCAGCTCCCAAACCCCCTGATCGCCCTGTGGCTGTGTGTGTGACAGGGGGTGGGGCCACAACCTCCCTATCCGCCCTGCTCTGTTCGTGACAGGGGAAGGCGCCCCAACCCCCTGATCAGCCCTGCTCTGTGTGTGATAGAGGGCAGCGCCCCAACCCCCGCCCTCCCACCCCCATGGGCCCTGCTCTGTGTGTGACAGGGTAGAGCCATAACCTCCCCATTGGCCCTGCCCTGAGTGTGACAGTGGCGGCACCCCAACCCCCTGATCGGCACTGCTCTGTGCATGACGGGGCAGCGCCCAACCCCTTGATTGGCCCTGCTCTGTGTGTGACAGGGGGCAGCGCCCCAACCCCCTGATTGGCCCTGCTCTGTGCGTGACAGGGGGTGGCGCCACAACCTCTCCATCGACCCTGCCTTGAGTGTGACGGGGCAGTGGCCCAACCCCCCAATCAGCCCTACCCTGAGCGTGACTGAGGGTGGCATCGCAACCTCCCAATCCGCCCTGCTCTGTGCATGCCAGGGGGCGGCATCCCAACTCCCCAATCGGCCCTGCTCTGAGCCCGACCAGGGGCTGCACCTAGGGATTGGGCCTGCCCTCTGCCACCTGGGAGCAGACCTAAGCCAGCAGGTTGTTATCTCCCGAGGGGTCCCAGACTGCGAGAGGGCACAGGCCGGGCTGAGGGACCCTCCCTTCCCCACCCCCAAGTGCACAAATTTTTGTGCACTGGGCCTCTAGTTTGATATAAGAAACAATAAATGCAGAAATTGATAAAATATGGTGGTAAACATATTTATTATAAGATTTTTAAAAAACTTATATATTTTGCCCTAGCTGGCTTGGCTCAGTGGATAGAGCGTCAGCCTGCGGACTGAAGGGTCCCAGGTTCGATTCCAGCCAAGGGCACATGCCTGGGTTTCGGGCTCGATCCCCAGTAGGGGGTGTGCAGGAGGCAGCCAATCAATGATTCTCTCTCATCATTGATGTTTCTGTCTCTCTCTCCTTCTCTCTTCCTCTCTGCAATCAATAAAGAAATACATTTTAAAAAAACTTATATATTTTAATTATGAAATTAAACTACTAGAGTACAAACTACCCTGAACAATATTCAGGATCTGGTGGTATGTTCCATAATAAAGTGTGATGCAGTCTTGGGATAAGAGGATAGAAACACCAAGTAGCTTTCATCGTTATTAGAAAAATTAAGTATGCATTTAAAAATTTTAAGGATAACTACTAAAAGTAGAGGGGAGAAAGAATATAAAATATCTGTAATGCTAAAAGAAGACAGGAAAAGAGGGGAAAAAGCAAAATAAATTGCATGGTAAGTTATCACAAGTTGTAATAGAAATAAATCCAAATAAATCAGTAATCACAATAATTGCAAATATCGGATTGTTATTTAAATCTTACTACTTGCTATTTAAAAGAGACACCTAAAACTTAGAAGGTTGAACATGAAATGATGTAAAAATTGCACTAATCAAATAGCAACCAAAATAAAATTGCTATAGTTATAGTAACATACAAAACATTTACACGAATATCTATATACAGCAAAGGACTTGTATCCAGAATATGTAAAGAACTTTAACAACACAGTGATAGACAAGTAACTTAGTAAAAAACAGAGCTGAAGATTTGAACCGACCCTTTACCAAAGAAGATATACTGATGGCAGATAAACACATGAAAAGATTCTCATCATCATTAGTTATTAGAGAAATGCTGATTAAAATCACAGTTAGATACTACACTAGAATGACTAAAATAAAAAGACTGATGAATACCTAGTTATCAAAGATGGGGAGCAACTGGAACACATACATCGTTGGTTGGAATGCAGTCACTTTGGAAACCTTTTTTTTGTTTATTTGTTTCTTAGAAAGTTAAACACATGCTTATTAGATGATCCGCCAGTTCTTCTAGGTATTGGGAAATGAACATATATCTTTATAGCAACTTTAAGTGAATAATTCCCTGAAACTACTAGCCGCCCCTAATATTCATTGACTAGTGAATGAACATTTTGTATATCCATACGGTGGAATACTGCTAAGCAATAAAAAGGAATGAACTACTGATACATATAAGAACGAGGATGAATCTCAAAAGCATTAATCTAAGTGAAAGAGGCCAGGTATAAAAAATTCTTTTTACTGTATGATTCCATTTGTGTAATTCTAAAAAAGACAAGAAAACTATAATGATAGGAAACAAATGACTGGTTATCAGGTTATGGAGGGAAGGGGATTGACTGCAAAAGGGCACAAGGGAAATTTGGGGGGTAATGGGGTTATACAACTATATTCATTTATAAGAACTTACCAAATTGTTCACTTAGAACCAGTGAATTAAAAAAGAAAATCTACAAATTTTATGTAAATTGTGCCTCAATAAAACTTGCCTCCCAAAAAAGACTAATGCAGAAGCATTACAGGGAAAAAGAGGTTCACTACAAATTGATGAGAGCAATATTTCACCATGAATATTTAATAATTCTGAAGTTGCACATTTTACAATGTAGTCCGAACATATATAATACAAAAATTAACAATTACCCAGAGAAGTTGACAAGTTAACTTTTTGTGTGTGTGTAAGTCCTCACTTAAGGAATTTTTCCCATTGCCTTTTTGTAAAGAGAGTGAGAGCCCTAGCTGGTTTGGCTCAGTGGATAGAGTGTTGGCCTTCGGACTGAAGGGTCCCAGGTTCAATTCCAGTCAAGGGCACATGCCCAGGTTGCGGGCTCAATCCCTAGTGGGGGGTGTGCAGGAGGCAGCCGATCAGTGATTCTCCCTCATCATTGATGTTTCTATCTCTCTCTCTCCCTTCCTCTCTGAAATCAATAAAAATGCATTTTAAAAAATAGAAAAAGAAAAAAGAAAGTGAGAGGGAGAGAGGGATAGGGGGAGAGAGAGAGAGAGAGAGAAAGAGAAACATCAGTGTGAGAGAGACACATTGATTAGTTGCCTCCTTCATGCGCCCCAATGGGCCTGGTATCAAACCTGCAACCCAGGCACGTGCCCTTTACCAGGAATTGAACCCACAACCCTTCCATTTGTGGGCTGTCCTCTAACCACTCAAGACACACAGGCCAGGGCTGACAAATTAACTTCTAGTGGGAGATTTACAAACCTTTCTCAGTATTAGACATTGTATGACTATATTTTTCTGTGTCAGCATCCCATAATGAATATTTAAAAGGGAAAATTATTGTAAAACAATCAGTATCTGTTATTCATTTCAATAAGATTCTTTATTTTGACACAGACTCATTCAACTGCAGTGTTCTGTTGCTAAGAAAAATGTTCATGCTGTGAGCATCACAATAGAAAGTTATAAATATTATTTAATTTTATTGGATCTTTTTAATATGGTTCTTTTTTCTGAAACTATTTTATGTTTCTGCCACTTGATTCAGTGTTTACTTGGCACCAGAAACCTAATGATTTATGAGTATCACTCGGAAATTTCCAGCTGACTCACTAAGATTTAGTAGCTATGATATACCAAAGCTAGATGTCAGACAAAGATGTAAATATAGTTACTATAAAAAGACTTCATCCTCATCAAAGCTCTTTAGGTTGGACTTTTGGACTTGGAAATTTTTCTTTGAAGAAAGCTGTTGTGCTGTGAATCCCCACTGCCATCCCAGATGGGAACAGGGAGTTTGCCTCTTTCCTCAAGCTTGGTGAAAGAGGTTTCAGCAGGACGGGAGAGAGCTTGATGCAGGTCTCCTGCGGTAAAGGGGGCATAATGGACTGGTGTCCTGACTTCTGACCAGGAAGTCCTGAGGATAAGAGATAGGCTATCTGACTGCTTTGGTGGTAACTCATGCGTTGGTCAGTTTGTGACTCAGATGAATTGAGAGAGCGAGTGAGAGTCATTGGTTGAGTGGGTGGATTCTCTTAGAACATGTCCAGTAGGGCCACCTGGAGGGGCAAACAGGATTTACCAGAGGACAGGCTGTAAATGGACCACCAGATTCCTTTGGGTATGAGGAGGGAGTGGTCAGTTGCTGGAATAACATTCATTAGCCAGGTCAAGGGACCTGGGAGAAGCCATCATTGGTTGGGTTGGGCTTGATGGGGATAATCCAAAGAACCCTCTGAAGGACCCATTGAAATTGGCTTTTAAATTTCCTTTAAAATCTGCTGGGCCCAGAGAGTGTGGAGTGAGGTTATGGACTGCTAGCCTAGTCAGAACCTTTGGGCTTAGTTTCCCTGTCCTTCCTCCCCTTCCACTTCAGCCCTGGAGGGAGTCAGAAATGGCATCTAGCCCAGCACCTAGTGAGTAAGGGAGGAGGTGAGTCCACAAAGCAGGCCAGGGCACCCCTTGCAGGCAGGCAGCTACCTCCAGTGTGCTCAAGTGTTGGCGGAAAGGGTTGGAGCAGTCTAACATTTGAATGGGAACTTTGCCTCTTACCATGTAGGCCTGTTCTGGAGATTCTTGTCCTGAATCAGCAAAATTCTTGCATCACAGGGACTTGTACTTGCTGTTGCTGCTTCTCCCTCAGGTGTCCTTGCCTTGCTCCTTGCCCCCCTTTGGGTCATTGTTCACATGTTACTTCCTCAGTGAGTCCTTCCTTGACTTCCTACTCATCATTCGGACCACCCACCCTGTTCCCCTCCAAGCCCTTACTCTGCTCTATTTTTCTTCATATTACTCATTATATAGCATGTCACAGTTTTGGTGTTAGAGTGTTTGTCCCCTTTCAAATATAAACTCCATTGAGAGCAGGGAGGGGCTTTGCTGTTTTCCCCCTGTTGTGTCTCCAGCATCCAGAATAACAGAATGTATTTATTCAAGAAATATTTAATTGTCAAATTAAGACTGTTTTGTGATTTAAAGAATCATAAATAAATTTACTCATGATTATGCACTGAGTTCTCTTTCAACATACTTGTTAAATAAGTATTCTTTTGCTTTTTATAAATAGTTTTATTGAGATATAATTAACAAACCATACAATTCATCCATTTAAAGTGTACTATTTAAGTCCTGGCCTGGTAGCTAAGCTGGTTAGAGCGTTGTCCTGAAACACCAAGGTTGCGGGTTTGATCCCTGTAAGGCAGTGGTTCTCAACCTTCTGGCCCTTTAAATATAGTTCCTCATGTTGTGACCCAACCATAAAATTATTTTCGTTGCTACTTCATAACTGTAATGTTGCTACTGTTATGAATTGTCATGTAAATATCTGATATGCAGGATGGTCTTAGGCGACCCCTATGAAAGGGTCGTTTGACCGTCAAAGGGGTCGCGACCCACAGGTTGAGAACCACTGCTGTAAGGGCACATACAAGAATCAACCAATCACTTGGCTGGTGTGGCTCAGTGATTGAGCATCAACCCATGAATCAGGAGGTCACAGTTCATTTCCCAGTCAGGGCACATGCCCAGACATGCAGGAAGCAGCCAATCGATGATTCTCATCATTGATGTTTATCGATGATTCTCATCATTGATGTTTGCTATCTCTCCCTCTCCCTTCCTCTTAGCTGGTTTGGCTCAGTGGATAGAGTATCAGCCTGCGGACTGAAGGATCCCGGTTTCAATTCTGGTCAAGGGCACATTCTGGTCAAGGGCACATGCCTGGGTTGTGGGCTCAATCCCCAGTGGGGGTGGGGGTGCAGGAGGCAGCCGATCAATGATTCTCTATTATCATTGATGTTTGTATCTCTCCCTCTCCCTTTCTCTCTGAAATCAATAAAAATATCTAAAAAGAGTAAACATCAATTATAATAAATATATATATATATATATATATATATATATATATATATATATATATATATATATATGAATCAACCAATAAAAGCATAAGTGGAACAACAAATTGATGTCTCTGTCTCTCTCAACAAATTTAAAAAAAATTAAAGTGTACAATTTAATGTCTTTTAATGTACTTGAAGAGTCATACAACCATTATCACAATCAATTTTAGAATATTTTCATGACTTTGAAAAGGAAACCGACCCTCCTTAGCCATAATTTTCCCAGCCCTAGTCACCTACTAATCTTCTTTCTGTCTCTACAGATATGCTGATTCTGGACACTTCAGATAAATGGAATCATACAATGTATAGTTCTTTGTGACTGGTTTCTTTTACTTAGCATAATGTTTTCAAGGTTAATACATGTTGTAGTATATATCAACATTTTATTCCTGTTTATTGCTGAATAATATTTCACTATGGCTATACCACATTTTTATACTTTTACCTATTGGACATTTAGGTTGTTTCCACTTTTATGAATAATACTGCTATAATTTATAAGTTTTTGTATGGATGTATGTTTTCAGTTCTCTTGGGTCTATACTTAGAAGTGGCATTGCTGGGTTAAATACTTACTCTGTGTTTAATCTTTTGAGGAACTGCCACATTGTTTCCCAGAGTAGCTGAACCATTTTATATTCTCACCAGCAGTGTATGATGATTCCAGTATCTCCACAACCTTGCTGTACTTGTTACCCAACATTTATTACCTGTCTTTTTTATTTTATAGCCATCCTAGTGGATGTGACGTGGTATATCGTGGTTTTGATTTGTATTTATCTAATAACTAATGACATTGACATCATTTCATGTGTTTATTGACTGTTTATAGTTTTTCGAGAAATGTCTATTCAGATCCTTTGCCATCTTTTAAAAAATTGAGTTATTATCTTGTTACTGTCCTTTGTTTTTTGACTAGGATTTTTAAAAAATGGATTCTTATTTTCTTTCCTACTCTTCTTCAGGTAGAAGAAGTGAAGCGAAGGCAGTACTCCCTTGCATTCAGCTCAGCTGGAGCCCAGGCTCAGACCTATCATGTCAGCTTTGAGACTTTGGCTGAGTACCAGAGATGGCAACGGCAAGCATCCAAGGTGATAAGCTGTCAAATGGCATGATGTGGCGATAAGAATGTAGAAGCCCAATAGAAATGTATTTTGAAACTAAACTTAATCCCAAGAGAGTGAATTATAATTCTTACTAGCACACATTTTATTCTAGGCCTTTTTTTGAGTATATAATGAATGAAATAAAGGAATTATTGTCAGGTCTTTAACTTATTTATATTTGGATAGTAGAAAATGCTTTCAAAAATATTTTAAGGTGCATTTACCTTTTATGCCACTTGTGTGTGGAGGGTAGGGCCTTGAAGGAATGAGATTCAAATGACTTTCCGTGGACCGTAGTAGTTGGTGATGGATGGAATTATTCCCTAACTGGTAGCCTAGTTTCCTTGGTCTGTTTACATTTAGCACAGCTTTGATGAACCACTTCAGATTTGAACTTACGATGGGACATGACCTGTGATCCTGCCACAAACCGTTATTCCTGTATGCTGAGGATAATTAGCTTTTCAGCATAATTTCTACTTTTTTAGCCTGTAATGACAAGTGCTCTGAAGTTGTATTGCAATTTCTAAATCCTCCTGTTCGCAGAATTTTAACACATTTTTCTTTGTGGAACTAAGTAATTGCATAAAGGGTTGTTTCAATATAATGACCTGTCATCAAAACATGAATGACTTCTCCAGTGGTATTTTGTTTGTTTTGTTTTTTTTAGACCCATTTTTCAGAACCCATGTTTTATTAGCATACTATTGTAGAAATATAAACCTCATTTTTGTCTTACTGGATTTTCTGTACTTATATTGTGTAATAAAATCTGCTCGGTATAAATCTAGTTTCAATTTTTAGTAGTTATTGCATTCTTTTGCCCTGAGAAGTTAATATTTTTTGAGCATCTTTTGAATGCTAAGCAGTGTGCTGTGTGCTTGATTATTTAATTTTGTCTTCACTAGTGCAGATGTAGAAACTGTACTAGTAAGTAGCACAGTTCATGTGGCTACAGAAGGCCATGTCTTTCAATATCTCACTGCCTCCCAAAGTTTCGTGGTTAGTTTGAATCATCTTAACTTTACTTCTTGCATGAAATGTTACTTTTCCATCTTTATGATATATTTCTTAATCTTTTGCTTATAGACACTTTACAGCATGCCTTTGTGTATTCCTAACAGCTTATGGTTTTCGGAAAAGTAAATATTAGCTGGTTTTTATAAATGAATAATTAGATCTCATTGCCTTTTTTTCTTCTCTTTTTAACCCGGGCCTTTTTGTGTAAATGCGTTCCATGCTGTGCTGGGCGAGAGCATGCAGTACTAGCTCAGATGCTCTTCTCTTTGACCTTATTCAGGTGGTGTCCCAGCGAATCAGTACTGTCGACCTCTCATGTTACAGCCTCGAGGAGGTTCCTGAGCATCTCTTCTACAGTCAAGATATCACCTACCTCAACTTGCGACATAACTTCATGCAACTAGAAAGGCCAGGGGGCCTTGACACTCTTTACAAGTATGTGGAGAATAGGTTTTCGGACTAACTTATTAAAAATGAATCATAGCCCTAACCGGTTTGGCTCAGTGGATAGAGCGTTGGCCTGCAGACTGAGGGTCCCAGGTTCTATTCCGGTCAAGGGCATGTACCTGGGTTGCGGGCACATCCCCAGTAGGGAGTGTGCAGGAGGCAGCTGAATCGATGTTACTCTCTCATCGATGTTTCTAACTCTCTATCCCTCTCCCTTCCTCTCTGTAAAAAAATCAATAAAATATATATATTTTAAAAATGAATCATAATCAGTACTTTAGTGGTTTTACTTAGGAGTGAGTATGCTTACCGTCATCTACGTATTTTCCATTTTTGAAGAGGAAGTAAAATTTTTTATACAATTTTCCCATTTTCCTTCCCCCTCTATAAAACAGAAAATAGATGCAAAATTTCTGTTACGGAGGCAACATTGAACTGCCGTTGATCTAGATTATCTTCTGAATTTACTGATAGTGATGTAGCCAGGGTAAATTGAGAGATTCAGTTTATGGAAGTTTTCGAATCAAAAGTATCAAACATAAGTGACTTAAAGGGAATAGGCCTTATTGAAAGAATTCCACTCTCAGGTTAGGGCTTTTATTTTTCCTTTGTACGTGCTACTGCCGACTCTAACCTTTTATTAGCTATGAAACTTCCCTCTTCTAATAAGGAACTATTTCACTCCTAAGGGACTAAGGTATGACCCATATATTTTCCATTTCCTTTGTTAAAATATATTTCCTATTCCCAATCTGCACTCATGTCACCTCCCTCTTCCCTTTGAAAATGGATGGCAGTGAATAAATATATGGTATAAGTAATTATCTGGGCTTCTTATGGGGAGGGGAGAAATTGGAAATTAAAGCAGTCAAATTACATGGTGATTAAAAAGATAGTACACATTGAAGTGACATTTTATGTACTTCCTTAGTAACTGATATTTCTAGAATAAATTACAGAAAGCTGTATGATTTTTATCTCACATTTTACAAAGTTTTTCAAGTTTAAGCCTATGATTAGTAATGAGATCATTGTTTTAATAATATTGGTATTTAAAAAATAAAAACAAGCTATAATTTTAAGGAAGTGGTTTTTTTAACATTACCTTCTGAGTTGCTATGAAAATAGGGTAAATCTGGTTTGAGGGTTGGATTAGGAATTCAGAAGTTAAGGCACCAAGGCCACAATCAGTATTCAATGTCAGTACAATTAGAAATCAAGAGTTGAGCCCTGGCCTGTTTTTCTCAGTGGTTAGAGCATCAGCCCATGGACTGAAGGGTCGGGGGTTCAATTCCGGTCAAGGGCACATACCTCGATGGCAGGCTTGATCCCAGCCCCAGACGGGGCACATGTGAGAGGCAACCAACTGATGAGTCTCTCTCACATTGATGTTTATCTCTCTCTGTCTTTCCCCCTTCCTTTCATTCTCTCTAAAAAAATCAATGGAGAAAATATCCTCAGGTGAGGATTAACAAAACAAAAACAGAAATCAAGAGTTGAAAATTTGGAAGAGGAGTATTAGTGTGAGGTACAAGGATTCAAATCTGGAAGCAGGTGATACAGAGCTTCACCGTGGAGAACACCGCCCCAGCCTTACCATCTTGCACCAGCGTATAGTGAAGTACACTACTCCAAAGGAGCGTTACCATAGTGACTTCTGCGGGTCCAATTTAGGTTAATACTGTCTCTGGCTAAGACAGTAGAGATACTTTCACTTGTACCAACAAAATAGAAGCACTAGTAATTACTATTTCGTGTTGTCATATTACAGATCATATTACAGTAAAACTCCATATTATATACATGTCTTAAGCTTCATATAAGTGGCCCATTCATTTCAAGTGACATTTGAACCAATATAATTTCAATATGAAGAAAAGTTGCTTATAAAGGGATTTGGTCTACATGTTAGCTATTCCTGTGTCTATGACAGTGATGGCGAACCTTTTGAGCTCGGCGTGTCAGCATTTTGAAAAACTCTAACTTAACTCTGGTGCCGTGTCAGATATAGAAATTTTTTGATATTTGCAACCATAGTAAAACAAAGACTTACATTTTTGATATTTATTTTATATATTTAAATGCCATTTAACAAAGAAAAATCAACCAAAAAAATGAGTTCGAGTGTCACCTCTGACATGTGTGTCATAGGTTCGCCATCACTGGTCTATGAGTTGATTAATTGTTGCTAGGTCTTTGTTGTATTGCATGTAGAAATTTAATAAAGGAAAAGATTTCAAGTATATCAGTGTGACTTAATTGTACCAACATAAGCTTGTCTTCAAGATTTTTTGCCTTTTTAAGGAAAAGAGAGACCTCCCATCACACTAGACCCGGTTCCCTTGTAGCCTGGACTGAGCATTGGTCATTTTAGCATCTGTGCTGTGCCCAGTTTGGCACATAGTGAGAGCCCAGTGAATATTTGTGGAACAAATTCTATGATGAGCATTTAAATAGATTGCTTTCTCATTCAATAGTATATATGTAAATAATTTGTGCTTTTGCTTTTTAGATTTTCTCATCTGAAGGGCCTGAACTTGTCCCATAACAAACTTGGGTTGTTTCCTGTATTGTTATGTGAGATTTCTACCCTGACTGAGCTAAATCTTTCCTGTAATGGATTTCACGACCTGCCAAGTCAGATTGGCAATCTCCTAAAGTAAGTATCATGACTTGTCACTAGTTTCTTCATGTCCGTGGCAGAATAAGTTACTGGTCTGGCATTTGGACTGAAAGTAGTACCATATGCTCTCCCAGTGAAATAAGTCCTGTAATTATGAGCATTCTGTCAGCAGCAGTTACTTGCCTACAGCAGTGACTAGTGTCTCTCATTTCAATAGCAGAGGCTCTGGCTATTTTTGATGTTGGAGGGACCATCAATGTCAGCTATGTTTAAGCCATCTTATTAATAAGTTTCTAAAGATACTTAGGACATTTTATCATTTATTGGATTCATAAAAACTAGTGACATAAATTAGAATCCATAATTCTAGTTCTGTCCATTCCAGTTAAAACCTTTCATAAAGTAGACTTGTTTTGTGTTCTTCCTATAGTCTTCAAACTCTCTGTCTTGATGGCAACTTTCTGACTACTTTGCCTGAAGAATTGGGAAATCTGCAACAGCTTTCCTCCCTTGGAATTTCCTTCAACAACTTCAGTCACATTCCCGAGGTGTATGAGAGACTCACCATGTTAGACAAAGTGGTTATGGCAGGAAATCAACTGGAAGTCCTAAACCTAGGGGTGCTGAGCAGGATGAGCCATATCAAGCACGTAGACTTGAGGTAAGGTCACTTGTTACCATATCTCCTTTAGATGGACTTCTCATGGACCTTTAGGTTTCCTCTTTATAAAGACTTTTTTAAAACATTAGGCTTTTAAAGCTATGGTTTCAAAGATGTAACAAAGCTTCACCTTTCAATCAATAGAGATTATTAATGAGGTATAGGTGTTCCACATGATAAGATGTTGACAAATTGCCTTTGACAAAGGTTATTTAACTCACCTCCCAGCAACATTTTATGAGAATTCCTATTTCTTCCCATCCTTGTCAATGTTGGATTTTAGCAGTCTTTCTCCTTATTGTCAGTGCAGTAGATAGGAATAGTATTTCTTTTTGTTAATCAGTTTTTATGATTGAGGTTGAGCATCTTCTTAATGCTTATTGATTGGCAGTTTGTGTTTTTCTATAAACTTGACCATTTTTCTGTTGAATCATTGGGTTTCTTCTTTTTTTAAAAAATATATTTTATTGATTTTTTTACAGAGAGGAAGGGAGAGAGATAGAGAGTCAGAAACATCGATGAGAGAGAAACATCGATCAGCTGCCTCCTGCACATCTCCCACTGGGGATGTGCCCGCAACCCAGGTACATGCCCCTGACCGGGATCGAACCTGGGACCCTTCAGTCCGCAGGCCGACGCTCTAGCCACTGAGCCAAACCGGTTTTGGCGGGTTTCTTCTTGATATCCATTTATTATAATTAAAATGTTAAAAGGTTTTACTACTACTAATTTTTTTTTTTATATTTTTTTATTTTTCGCTTAAAGTATTACAAAAAAGACACACACGAGATGTTCTGTCATTTACACTAAGCCTTTGCTATCCTTCTAAAAATAGAGTAATAGAAAAATGTATTGGACTACAAGAAAATGAGAACAGGCCTGCGTGCCTTAAGTAATATACTTGTATATAAGGGAACCAAGAAGCCATTTTCTATAATTTGCCCTTGAACTATTCCATGTAGATACCGATTATTTTCCTCTCCATTAATTAATGTAATGTGAATCTTAGCACTAGAGAGAACAGGCAGAGCAAGGGGAGGGAGGCAGTGTGGGCTGCTTCCTCTGGCTTTTTCCGTGGCCTCCTTGCCTGCTTTGCTGCTCACTAACCCAGAGGTTATGTCCGTCTTCTGGTCCTTGGTCCGATCCCTTCGTCCCTACCTCACTTTATTAGATATCTGGGTGGAAGTTAACTAACTTTGTGGGATCATGGTTCTTTTTTCCTTTCTCCTTATTTAACTTGTTATGTATTTGCCAGTCTGGATTATCTGACTTAAAATAAAGAACTTAAGGTACAGCTATCTGCAAGAT